AAAATACTTTTAGACAGCCGTCGAAAGTCCCTTTTGTGTTTCGGGAGAAGAACCAATAAATGCGGCTGCCAGAGGAGACGAGACCTTTTTCTTGGGTGGAGACGACGGTTTCTTTGGAATTTGAGTATTTCCAACCCCGGTCATGGTAGAAATTTTGATTTCGGCATAATTCTTGGGCGCCTCCTCCTCGTGAACATCGTCAAAACCATCCATGCGGAGTTTGGGTGGTACTTCTTCTTCTTTTGCTGCTGCTGCTGCAATGCCCATTTCTTTTTCCAAATCGTCAATTTGACTTTCCAAAGAGGATTCTTTCTGCAAGTCAGTTTCGTCGTGATGATGATGATGATGATTCTTGTCGTCCAATGCCACGGCTCCGGGTGATCGTGGTACCAATCCAGCCGCTTGATCCCTGAGACGCTTCAATTTTTCAATGTCAATTTCCTTTTTCGTGGCGGCATCCTTACTTTGTGTGGACATGGCCGAAAAGAAGGAGGCTGGTTTGGCATTATTATTATTAGGATCCTTGCCATTTTTCTTGTTTTTGAGTTCTCCAATGGCAGGATCTTGATGGGATCCAATGCCAGTGGCCTTCTTGGGAGCATTGTTACCGGCGCCGCCAAAGAATTTGAAAAACCGACCTGATTGTGCCGAGGAGGATTCCAAGGACGACGACCCATCCGAGCGAGTCGACGCCAAACTGGGATAAGACGACTGAGTCGTCATGGTGACAGGTGGTGGTGATGGTTCGGCATCTGGAATGTCAGGTTTGCGGACACTACTTGCTGCCATGCTTTTGAGACGATCCACATTGGTCATCTTAGTGTTGGTAGGAAAGCCTGATTTGGAACTCAATTCAGCCGAATGAGTCGGGGATTCAGAAGGATCTGAACCTGTGAGTCTATTCGAAAAGCTAGACCACATGGAAGCAATCTTGCTATTGCTGCTGTTGTTGTTACTCTGTTGATTCGGCGACATGCCACCAGATGCACGTCGTTCTTGAATGCCCCCATTGCTACTTCCGTAACTTCTCTCGGAACTGAAAGCGGTGTCATTTGTTGAAACATTAGGGGCAACGGAACTGACCGAAGTCCGAGGGTCTGACATCATGGGTGGGAAGCTGAAGGATCCCCAGCAGTTGGTATTCCCCATTTTGGCAGGCTGTGCTTTGCGTTCTTCCGCCTTTTGCTTGTACGCCAAGAACTGAGCCGGCAATTGAGACGACGGTGAAGTTTCAGCTGTCATCATTTTGATTCTGTTGTGATCTGCGTGTGTCTTTTGTTTGAAGGGGAAGAGGCTATATAGTTAGGGCTTGCTGCAGTCAAGTTGGGGGACTTGTTGAGTAAGGTGCTATGCTGTTGCTTTCAAAGAGGACGATTGACCCTTATCCTCTTGTATTATTGTTTCTTCAGGTGAACAATATCTGTGTCTATGCGTATAGACTGGAAAACTTCTCAGCTGAGGTTTTACGTCACGTGAGAACGTCCCACGAATTCAAACCCAAATCTACTCGTAGAAAACAAAAGTGAGAATTTAATTTACGTCACGTCGTGAGAACGAACCACGAATTCAAAATGACTTGATTTCTTCGTAGAAAAAAGTACCAGTGGCGACGGTATCTTGGGTCATTTCGGTCCGGTCGATATTCACCGACTCATACGACTTGGTTGTCAAATCATGCGATATGCGCGAAAAATGACATCCAAAATGATTTGTTCATTCACGCATACTGTTTTCATTCATCGTAATCATTCATTTGATCTTCTATATATATTATAATCTGCCACTCTCCCATCAAACAAACTGGTCGTACACTAGCTAAATATTCCTAATGCTGCATGTTAGTTACAAATGTGGCAAAATGGCACTCGTTGATTCGAAGAGAGGTCTAGATTGGATTCTTGTGAAGGGCGCAGCGCAGTTGCTGTTGCCATAAACGCATAGTCCACTCGTCGCCCCAATATACGGCTGTCTAAAATTGGTATTGCTTGCAAGGCGCGAGCCCCACAGGATGGCAAGTCTTGATTGAAGGATGTTGCACCGTTGAAAATCTGGTTCATATTTGTGACAGAAGAAACATCGCATGATGATATGGTGTCTTGACTAATACTCTGTGCAGCCATGATGATTTCGTCCCACGTCAGTAACTGAAGAAACATCCCATGATGAAATGTCTTGGTTGAACATCCCCGACAACTCAGCCACAGAAGAAACGTCTCATTTTCCAATCTCCTCATTGAAATTATAACACCTTTCAAACAGGGTATTCACGACATTGGTAACATCAGCATATTGGGCCTCGATCAATGTCTTTGGCTCTGGAGACTCAAACAACTCGTCAAACTGCGTCAGAGAGCTCCGTGTTCGATTCAAATTTATGGCTGGCAAATGTGGCAAAAGGGACCTTTAGGATTTGAAGAGACATCTGGATTGGATTCGGAAGGGCAACTGGTGCTACCAAACACATCGAAAGGAATCGCATTTTTCACCACTACATTGCTGGGTAAAACTGAGCCCCAGGGACAAAGATTCTGGTTGAAGGAAGATGCTCCATCGAACATTCCAATTATGGATACGACAGAAGAAAGCTCCCACGAGGATATATCTTGGTTGAAGGATGATGCTCCACCAAACATTTGCAATGTGTTGAGGACTGAAGATACGTCCCATGAAGATATGTCTTGGTCGAAAGACGATGCTTGTGAGAACATGCCATCCATGCTGATCACGGAGGAAACGTTCCATCTTGAAATGTCCCCATTGAATGCACGCGCACTGACAAACATTTGTCCCATGTCTGTTACAGAAGATACATCCCATGATGATATGTCTCCATCAAAAGACCTTGCTTCGTTGAACATCCACAGCATATCAGTGACGGATGAAACATCCCAAGAATTCAAGTTTTGGTTGAAGGATCTTGCGCGGTAGAACATAAATTCCATGTTGGTTACCGAAGAAACGTCCCATGATGAGATATCTTGGTTGAAGGAGGAGGCTGTGGAAAATTGATTGAGGAACATTCTAGACATGTCTGTCACGGAAGAAACATCCCAGTTTCCAATATCCTCATCAAAAGACGGGCGATTGCGGAAAAGGTTGCTCATGCTAGTGACACCTGCTCCAAAACACCAGTCTCCGATCGGTCCATATTTTACCTCGACGGCTGCCTGTAACTCGGAAGACTGGAACCACTCGTCAACTGCGCCAGAGAGCTCTGTGTTGGATTCGAAACATGAAAATACAACTTGTGATGGCTCTGATGATGGCTCTGTGCTCGGAATGTTGCTTGGTTTATTGCTCGGCACGTTGCTTGGCTTATTGCTTGGTGTATTGCTCGGCACGTTGCTTGGCTTATTGCTTGGTATATTGCTCGGAACGTTGCTTGGTTTATTGCTTTGTATATTGCTCGGAACGTTGCTTGGTTTATTGCTTGGTGTATTGCTTGGTACCAGCGATGAAATGGAGGATGGATTCAGGGAAAGACTCCTAGAGGGCATTTGTGAAGGCATCTGAGAAGGCGCTGGGGTTGAGATATCAATAACCGTTGCAGTGGTTGGAAATTGTGATGGCATGCTTGTTGGAGAAAGAGAAGGGCTTGAACTAGGCAATGCTGTCGGTTGTGGAGTTGGCGGAAGAGTTGGTCCAGACACAGGAGCCAAGGTTGGATACTCAGATGGAGATTCAGAGGGTGATTGAATTGGCATCGAAGAAGGTGGCTCTGGTTCTGGACTTGCACTTGGTCTTGTGGTTTCTTCCCTCTGCGTGGGAAAAGCAACTGATGGTGCTGTAGTTGGCTCCGCTGAGGGAGACTTGTCACTGATGCTAGGGGATGAAGTTGGATCGACGGATCCCAAATTCACAACAAGGATACTGCCATAGAGTCCAACCAATTCAAGTTTTTCCTCCAGAGAACCACCACCAAAAAAGGCACTGAGTTCCCCAATAACATCCACGACCTTCACTGATGCATCCTTTACAGCAATTCCAAGTGCCACAATAACACGATGACACTGCGGATTGGAATCATCAATACATTGTACTTGCTCGATTCCCGATGCATCGACTGCCACATTTCCAACTGCGTACGCAAAGACTCCACCATCCAAATGGCGATGATATCGCAACTTTCGTACGATTTGATTGCATCCAGTGAGTGCTGGAGCCATCAATTCTCGAAGTTTATCCTCAATGATTCCGGCTGAAATGCTCAGATCCATGGGAAGAAACGACGTGGCATCGAGCTCAAGCTCATAGTTTTGTACTGGCATTGTTCCTTGACCTTGTATTGCATTTCCACTGGCAATGGCGGCACAGTCTTCTATCGATGGTGGTTCAAACGCAACCTCAACGTCGTTATTAGGAGACTCACTAGGAGCTCCACTTGTGGAAGTAATCGCAAAAGAATCCTCAGTTGGAGTGACGGTATTCATTGGCACATTCGTTACATTCTCTGTATTTGGAATACCACCGACTTGTGACGGTTCATTGGATGCATCGTTACGCGTGGCAAGCCAAGCTGCAACAGCGCCAATCGCAAGGACAACGAAACAAAGAAGGTAGCAACATATTCGAACACTCTTGTTCTGCTTGAAACGTTCCCAGTCTCTTCCGTTCGAATCTTCATTATTATCCCTTGTCCTTCTGCTTGAATTATCGTCAGACGTAGTTACATCCATAGACATGTCCAAAGTTGTCGAAGCACCACCACTTGCGTCGCCGTTCTGATCAAGCATCGAATTGAGTAGCGCCATGGCAAGGTCGGCATCGTTGCTGTCTACAGCATTGGCCATCAAAAGTCCATCCATATTGTCACCCTTATAAGCTTCAAGTCTCGCTCGTTCTTCCACCGTAAACACAGATTGGGTTCCCACAGGTCTGCGAAATCGCTCTTTTCCAGAGCTTTTGTCTTTTGCCTCTTGGGTTCCACGTGAATCCGCATGTGCACCCGGCATTGGTCCAGTAATGGGTTCACTCATTCGATCCATGAGATTGTTCACCTTTGCAACAGCATCCTTGGTGTATCGATCTTGTTGGCTTTTTCGTTTGCCACGTCGATGCTTGCTGCGACCATTGATCGGTTCTACTGCATCCGCATAATCCATAACATCGGCACTATCCGGCACCTTCTTATTGGCCTCGCCTTCCGCTTCGCTTCGCTTGGTGCCCTCCTGTTCAAAACTTTTGGTGTCTTTGGTATTCGGTTCGGTTCCACGAGATTCCGGATGTGCACCAGGCATCGGTCCAGTTATAAGATCGCCGGATGCTCGATTCATGAAGTTCATTGCCTTTGCGACAGCATCCTCCTTGGATACTCTATCTTGTTGGCTTTTTCTTTTGCTACTTCGATATTTGTTGCTGCGGCCTTTCGTTGGTTCCACTGGTGCTGCTGCTACTACGCCAGTATGATCGACGGCATTTGCCCTAGAGGTACCACAGTCACGCTCGGCTCGAGCTTTATCCTTGGCTTCATGTTCTTCTTTGCTTTTCTTGGTTCGACGCGGTTCGTTGCTCCTCTTTGGACTGTTGCTTGTGCTGCTAGTACGACGAGATCTTCTTCTCGAGGATCTGCTACCGCTGCTTCTTGATCTCTTGCTGCTTTTGGTGATGGAACCGTCCATGGTGCAGTCTGAAATATACAGTGATGGGAGAAAATATGAAAGTTCGGCGCTTATAATTTTGGTGGAAGAGGATGAGTTTCGGCGGCGGAAAGGAATTCGCGTTTTGTTATTATTGTCAAATAAAATGGTTCATTGTGTACCGCGAGATACGTAGAAGAAAAGCCTGTACATATGATGACCAAGAAATGTGATTACTTATTGCAAATATCCGGCAAACTATCCCTTTGCGATATCTTCCATGTTCCATTTTGTCCCGCTCTCGCTTACAGTATAATGAGGAGAGCGCAGACGCAGGGTGCCTTCTTTCTGGGTACAAAGATATGATAGTGACGTAGAGTACAGGTATGCTTGGCATTGTATTCATTGGGATGCGATGTACATGGAAGTTCACAACTAGATTTCACGAAGATTATGGTTCTAAGATTACTAGGGTAAAATCGAAGATGGAAGTAGGAGATCACCGTTATAATTGCAACACGCGCCGAAGGCTGCGTTGTTGCTGAGTGTATTGCATTTGTCATCACCAACTACAGTCATGCACACGCAACAACTGGAGGAGAGAATAAAAATATGCATATGTCAGTGCCACTGTAATGGTGAGATACCACAGAAACAATTATTTTGTTACTTACCCAACGCAATTGCAACTGCCGCTGCCGACTGTCATCGATCTAATGGCTGCAGAATCAGTTGGAACTATATCCTTCCCTTGGTCGCTTACTAAACCTGAGCAAGCCCCTGCTCCCTTGCAGCTGTCTTCTCCAATAGTCAATACATTTCGTCCGGCACACGCATTCTCGCCAGTGCACGATGTTGCCTCGACTTTCCCACTATACGACAAGCACCCATTCAAGCCGGTACACGAACCATCCCCCACAGTGAGTGCCCCTGTCTTGGAAGGATCTAATTTGATAGTACCGCCCTGGTTGCCAAAGCCATCACAGCTATAAGCAGCAATGCAGCTGGCCGCACCAGCATCCAACTCGCGTCCGCGACAGGAACCTGATCCTGTACAAGTACCTGCTCCCACTTTGATTGGTTTCGCAAAGGTAGAGGGTACAGTGCCCGATGCATCTTCTTCACCTGAGCAAGAGTTGACCACTGTGCAACTGCCTTCTCCAATATCCAGTACACTCCGTCCTGCACATGCATAATCACCGAGACAAGACGTATCTCTTACTGTTCCACTTTGTGAGAAACATCCGTAAGCACTGTCACAAGAGTCAGCTCCAACATCCAGAGCACCGAGCGATCCATTCGCATCATTCCGACACGAATTTTCTCCAACGCAACTCCCATCAAGAGCTGTTATTTCCCGCAGAGCACAACTTCTTGTTGTTGTGCAGCTTCCGGTGCCAATATCGGTCGTCGCTCCATTGCAAGAATTTTCAGCAAGGCAGCTACCAGCGCCGATTCGTGTCCCGGCAGCGTTAGTGCAAGCATTCAATCCAGTGCAGCTACCGGTGGCAATGATATCCACTTGTGCGGCATTGCAAGAATTTGTAACAAGGCAGCTACCGCCGAGGATCCTCGTCCCGGTAGCGCCATTGCAAGCATCCAATCCGGTGCAACTACCACCGGCAATAGTACCCATGTCTGCGCCATTGCATGCATTCGCCAGAGTACAGCTGCCATCGCCAATAGTGCCCAGAGTTGTTCCATCGCAAGCGTTTGCCTCGAGGCAAGAATTCTCTCCAATTGTTCCTGTTCCAGATAGATTCACACAAGATTGGCTAGCAGCGCAAGAACCACAACCAATCGTAACGCGAGAAATGGGACTGTCACAGGAGTCTGAGAGCAAACAGTAGCATAATTTGGCTGACGGAGATCCACTGGGAGCTTCCGAAGGAACCATAGAAGGCTTCATTGACGGAGCGACAGATGGTTTCGTTGATGGCTTCGTTGATGGATCGGAAGATGGCCTCATTGATGGCCACATTGATGGTAGGGAAGAAGGAGCCCTACTCGGCTTGGATGATGGAACCAAACTCGGTCCAACAGATGGTACTACGCTGGGTTGGCTCGACGGTGGAGGAGTTGGGCCAATCACAGGAGCCAATGTTGGTGCCGAAGAAGGGGAAATTGTAGGCACAAGACTTGGTGCAGAAGATGGCAATGCAGTAGGACGTGGTGTTGCTGGAAGTGTTGGACCAGATACCGGAGCCGAAGTTGGAAATTCAGATGGAGACTCGGAAGGAACGGAACTAGGCTGCATACTTCCTTCACCTTCGCTAATAACGGGAGCTAGTGTTGGAGATGTTGGAGCACCCGGACCACCTGGACCACCCGGACCAGAACCTCCAGTGGGAGTCTCGGATGGCACATCCGAAGGTGGGATGCTTGGAATTCCCGTTGGCATCGAAGAAGGTGTCGTTGTTGGTGAGAGGTTACTAATACCTTCAACCAATCGAACGGCAAAGAAGGGAAACTCCAATTCCAATGGAACTTTCAAGTTATTTTCTTCACCTTCCGCAATCAATTCTTTCTCAGCTTCGGAGATCAATGTGATAATCTGAAAGGGTGGAATTGGTCCCTTCAAGAATACGGAGAGTTCCAAAAACACTCTGTGGCATTGCGCCGTGAATCGAGTTTCGGTACAGTCAGCGTCCTGTAGCGTTCCCTTTACAAAGGCATCCCTAATCACATAGCGTTTCTCACGAAGATTCTCGCCAAATGCAAGAAGTCTATGGTTCTGAGAGGCACCTCGGATCATGGAGGTATCTGCCTCTACCAAGTTGCGACGACTGATATCGGAACAACCAATCAACAGAGGAACAAGCTTCTGTTGAATGGCTGAGGCTAGGGTAAAGACTTGACTCGTATTGATGTCCTCCTCCGTTTCCAAAGTGACATCAATGGTAAGACCAAAGTTAAATTGATCCAATTCGGCTCGTTCCTCGGGGGAAGTACGGTTCAGGGCCACGAGTTCACAGTCTTCCAGACTTGGTGGATCGTAGAGTTGAAAGATGGCTGTAGGACCTTCCGAAGGCGAAACAGATTGAGTCCCAGTTGTAGGCGCATCTGAGGCTTTGCTGCTTTCATCGTTAGGGATTGCTTCATCCCTGTTCAAAGCAAAGATTGCACCAGCGTAGACTGCACCGATTCCGGCGGCAATGAGAACAAAAACGCAGATCATAATTTTGATGATTTGCTTTCGTCGCTTCTTTCGTTCTTCTTCTTCCGCCTTCTTTTTGGCTAGACGCCGATTGAGCTCATCGATTTCTTGTTGACGCTTCTTTTCCTTGAACTCAAACTCGCGTCTCAATGTTTTCAATGCTTTGTCACCACCACTTGGGTCTTCGTTCTGATCAAGCATCGAATTGAGTAGTGCCATAGCAAGGTCGGTATCGTTGCTGTCTACAGCATTCGCCATCAAAAGTCCATCCATATTGTCTCCCTTGTCAGCTTCAAGTCTCGCTCGTTCTTCCACCGTAAACACAGATTGGGTTCCCACAGGTCTGCGGAATCGTTCTTTTCCAGAGCTTTTGTCTTTTGCCTCCTGAGTTCCACGTGAATCCGCATGTGCACCCGGCATTGGTCCAGTAATGGGTTCGCTCATTCGATCCATGAGATTGTTCACCTTTGCAGCAGCATCCTTGGTGTATTGATCTTCTTGTTGTTGTTCTTGGCTTTTTCTTTTGCTACTTCGATATTTGTTGCTGCGGCCTTTCGTTGGTTCCACTGGTGCTGCTGCTACTACGCCAGTATGATCGACGGCATTTGCCCTAGAGGTACCACTGTCACGCTCGGCTCGAGCTTTATCCTTGGCTTCATGTTCTTCTTTGCTTTTCTTGGTTCGACGCGGTTCGTTGCTCCTCTTTGGACTGTTGCTTGTGCTGCTAGTACGACGAGATCTTCTTCTTGAGGATCTGCTACCGCTGCTTCTTGATCTCTTGCTGCTTTTGGTGATGGAACCGTCCATGGTGCAATCTGAAATATACAGTGATAGGAGAAAATATGAAAGTTCGGCACTTTTGGTGGAAGAGGAGGAGAGTTTAATTCGGCGGCGGAAAGGAATTCGCGTTATGTTGTTTTATGTACGTAAAAGAAAAGCCTGTATGATGACCAAGAAATGTGATTACTTATTGCAAATATCCGACAAACTATCCCTTTGCGATATCTTCTTGTTCCCGCTCTTGGCATTTCAAGACCAGAATGTCCATATATAAAAAGGAGTACAGTACGGGTATGTTTCATAGCAGCATTATCTCAAGTCTCGTTGTAACAAACGATCATGCACAAGAGTGAAATAGGCAGACGAATGATTTAATCACGAGGCGAGAAGAAGCAAGGAGGAAGGTGCAGAGACACCCACCACCAGCAGTCAGGAGTTTCAAATGTCGTTCTGCCTTCCAACAGTACTATGTATTAGCGAACAGCTGAAGGTCATGAATACGCTGTAAATGAATATGCCTTGGCAACTGCTTGACAAGCCTTTCATCGATTGCCACTATTAGCGATATGGTGCGAGTCGCGGTATCGCCTTTTGTTCAACCACGGTTCAACCTTCTTTTCTCATTTCATCCACATCATTTCGGCCTAGACAAGTACCGTCCTTCCTTCCCTCCGTCCAAAAGGTCGGTTTTGAAATCGTTGAACGGAACCCGGCCGGCGTTTGTCGCAGACATCTGGTTGGACAACACTGATTTGAATGAGTTCGCTCACCAAAATACCGAAAAATATTGCCAAGTGGCGCACTCTCGCAAGAGAGTTGTCAGACATTTTCAGAAACCAAAACCGAAAGCAATAATACGATAGAATAAGCCATCATCATCATCATAAAATTCAATATCACCTTCCGTGGGACTTTTCAACTGCAATCCTTCCGGTAAAAGATTGAATTTGGATTTAAATTTGAAATCCCTCAGCGCATCGCCAACCTCCGACGTTGTTTTTGCAAAGTATTTGTTGGAAGTAGAACACATAATAGTTTCTAAACATCAAACATCTCAGCTGAAACAAAATTTTAATGAGCAATAAGATGGCGACTCAAGCAATGAATCTAGATTTAATTCCTGTTGATGAAATCAATTCACCAAACGAAGCATCTATCAAAAACGACATTCCCATGGTTGTTTCCGACGATGAAGAAGTTGCTGGAGATGGCGGAATCTATGATGAATCCGCTCTCGATGATTGCAGTTCCGTATTGGAATCGGATAGCGAATGGGGAGCGGATGATGGTGATCATAACGATGGAGGCGTAGTAAAGGACGATGGCGAAGATGTCCAAGACAAGAAGGAAAGCGCGTTATCTGCGGCCAATTTGGAAGACTGGCTCTTTTCATCTTCATCACCAAAAGCAGAAGATGTGGTTTCGGAAGATGATGTTGATATGGACTTTGATGACGCGGATAATGGCGAGTTGGACAACCAAAATGGTGTTGAAGCCTCGCCAGACGATGAGATTCCTGTCAACTCGAACGCCGCCACCAGCGACAAATTGAACGAGTCAGTCGAAGATGCACTCAGTCTGATCAAGACAATTGATGCTGAGAAAGTGAAGCAGCAACAATCGCAATCGCAATTGCAAGACATGCCATCTGACAAGGACAAGGGATTCTTTGAACCAGGTGTCCCTCAACTAGCTGCAGCCGAACGCAAGATGCACGAAACTAGGACCTCCAAAGAATTGGAGTTGGAAGCACTGCGCAACCGAGGTCTGGCAGGACGCAATTCTCGTCAGCTCAAGAAAACGATCAACAAGAATCTCCAAATTCAAATTGATGACGCCCACCGAAATGGAAATATGGAGTGGAGAAAGATTGGAGGTGGTGACGATAGTCAAGATGAAATCGAAATTGGGACCATGACGACTGGTACCGCCACCAGTCCTCAACTAGCACAACAAGCTACGTCACCGGCAGTGGTCACAAGTCCCACTATGGCCTACGAACAATTAGCCATGGAGCAGCAAAAGGAACGAGACCGTGCAAAGAAGCTGGAACAGGAAACCATGATTCAGAATCAACTACATCCCGAGTCCCAACGCAAGGCTGAACAAAAGCTATTGGAAATGGATTTTGTCTTTGGATTGCTGGTAGGCAAAAATGACCCACCACCCGAGATTAAAGCAGCCACCAAGGCAGCGGCCAAGATTGTTCCAAACATGCTGACCTCCAAGAAGACAATTTACTACGATCCAAGATATCCACCTAAGGTGGCCTTTATTGAACTCGATGAAGCCTACGATGCCAAGGTTGCAGCACAAAAAGCTACAGAAGCTTTGGGTCCCAAGGCCAAAGGAAAAGTAATTGCGCTCCAAAAACGATACATGGTTCGTGGCAGGGTTCCCGTCCTACCACGTAAACGAAGCAACAAGAGCAGGTCATCAGATCCAAAGAGCCCCAACGGAGGAATGACGGCAAATGCCACCATTTCGACGCAACCGTTGACACCATTGACAGCCACAGGATCGGCATCCAATTCGGTGTGTTCTGGCGGTGATCCAGCAACAATGAAGGAAACTCTTGCAATGCCAACCATGGAACAAGTAGCCAGTCCCGTCGCTGCTGAAGATGTCACAACGAGCGCCAATATCAATAAGAAGGAAGATACTGTTGCTGATGCTGATGATGGGCTACAACCAACAATGAGCGAAGAAGCCGAAATGGCCGGTGTTTTGGAAGGTCCCATGAACACTTCGGCCGATGAACTCATGGTGGACAATATGAGCGAACGCGGTGGACCATCGGAAGAGTTCGTGGTGGCGGCCAAGGAAGTCGCTTCTCCCAAGTCACCAAAGCCAAATTTGGTGGTCAACACTCGATCTTCCAGTACTGACATTAGGAGCATTCGAATGTCCAAGGATGCTGAATTGGAAGCTATTCGACAACGCCGAGTGGCCAAGGAAAAGAACTTGGGCTTTGCTCAATTGGAAGCCCAAAGTGCATCGAGCAAGGCTGCCTACGAAGCCGAACAGCAAGATTTGCTCCAACGCAAGTCGGGCGCTTCGGAATTTCAATTTTCGGCGGGACGGATTGTCAACCCACTCGATCAACTCTACTTGCAACAAAACAAGCAGAATCGTAGCTATCGAGAGATTCAGCAAAAGACTCGCGAAGAATATCATCGGGTTTCTCCCTCTGCTGCTGCTGCTGCTGCTGGGGAAGGTGTGAACAAGAAGGAGGAGGAGGAGAAAGAAGATACTCCGTTCGACGAAGGCTACACTGCTGACGCTGTCAATCCCAGCAATGAGAATGCACCAAGCGAGCCTTCTTCACA